CAACCTTCCAAGCCTCCTGCTTCAGTACAAGCATGGGGAGATCCATTTCCCAATTTTATTAAAACAGCAGAGTACTTTATTCACATGCAAATTTTACCCAGAAGTCTCCTATATACAACAGATCGGAACAGGGCTGAGCTGGTTGAAGTTGTGTCTCTACCTACCTTCATGCTGGCAGCCCCCGAGGTCCTAGTGCTCCCCAGGACACTGGTTTGAAAATCCCCGAGATAGACCTTTACTTTTCACTAAAACAGGAAAATGGCTTGCAGAAAGATTTTCTTCTTCCATGTAAAATGCAGTGATTGATTGTTCTCCAAAGTCTCTTCCAACCTTGTCTTTGGGGTTTTATGATTCTGTCTGTTGTTGAATCGTCCGCGTGCAAAGGAAATAAAAATCCAATCTAGGGAGTCCATGTGGTGCAATGGTTAAAGGCATAAACTGAAAGCTGCTACCTGGATGTGACTCCTGGGATGCTATTTACTCGTGCTTTAACAAGTGATTTAACTTATCTGTTCACCTCTGAGCAAGTTTACCTCCCAATGTGTCGTTCCTCCCACTGTAAAATTAGGAAAATAATATTGATTGAGCTCATGTTTCTGTGAAAATTAGGTAAATTAAGATATATAAAATTCTTAAAATTATGTCTGAAAACAATTATTTAGTGACCATCTTATAATTGCTCACTACTGTTATTTGCTATTATTATTGAGGTGTTCAAATCTCAGGTGATAAGTATTTGGACCACATAGAGGGGTGCTGTAGGAAAGATTCTTATGATGGAAGAGAGGTAAGACTAGATGTCCTCCAAGGCCCTGGATTAGTCAGGATAAGAAAAGTTATGCCACCATAACAAATAAACCCTGAAAATCTCTATGGCTTCCTGGAACCAAAGTTTAGTTCTTGCTCATGCCAAGTCTAATACAAATAGACAACTCTCTGCACAGCTGTCCTCCATGGGGGCAGTGACTCAGGCTACTTGTAGCCTGAGGCTTGGCAGTCTCCTGGCAGAGAACAGAGGAGCATCCACCTGGAAAAGACACTTACCACATCGCTTATAGTCCTTTGGCCAAAACTAGGCATATGACCACACCCAAATTTGTGGGAGAGGGATTTAGTAAATTAAAGGATATGGCAGAGATAAGCAGATAACCTTTCAACCTTTTAAAACCAAAGCTAGAAATAGAGTTGCTCCCATGTGAGCTGTCCTAGTTGCATGAAAAAACTGGTCTGGAACCTCTGGCTTCTCAGGAAGCTATATTGATGATCTTCCTGAACTTCATGCATTTCTTAATGGAAAACAGTTGTTTGAAATTTAAGCTAAAATACGAGTTAAATTAATTGTCCTACAGTGACAAAAATGGTATTATTTTAAAGTTGAATAACTAGGAGAGGTGCCTGGGGATACCTCAGTTAAGTGTCTGAGTGTTGGTTTTGGCTCAGGTCATGATCTGGTGGTTCATGAGTTCGAGCCCCACATCAGGCTCCACACTGACAGTGCAGAGCCTGCTTGGGATTCTCTCTCTCTCTCCCTCTCTCTCTGCCCCTCCCCTCCTTGTGTTCTCTCTCTCATGTAATGAATAAACTGAAAGAAAGAAAGAAAGAAAGAAAGAAAGAAAGAAAGAAAGAAAGAAAGAAAGAAAGAGGAAGGAAGGAAGGAAGGAAGGAAGGAAGGAAGGAAGGAAGGAAGGAAGTTAGTTATCCAAAAATTAGGAGCACTAATTTCTTAAACCTTTTAGTGTATATGCTCTCAGAGTCAGTTAATTTACATGTACCCAACCTGATAATCATTTCCTTGCCTCCTCTGGATTGGTTTACCTCTTCATCACAGACAGAACTCACTCTGTTTATCTGATCACAGATGAAGATCTGCAGAAAAACCACATTGAAAGATTTGATCATTTGTTCTTTGATAGTCTTCTAGCATCAATTTTTCTTCCTCTGAGGTGGGAGATATTTCCCTTGGTTCTCTCTCTTAGCCTTCTAATTAATTAGTTGGTTATTATTCTTTTTACCTCCCAGTTAAACTTTCTCACTTTACTCCTTCTGCCATCTTAATAGGGAAAAGAAAGAAAAAAGAACAGAGAAGGCAATGTGTGGTGTCTGTTTTCTAAGAGCCAAGATGGGAGGACCCAAGGGGAAAGACAGGACAATTTCTTTTCAAAGGGATGAACAAAGGAAAGTAGTAGAAAAGAAAATTGACAGAATCATCAGCCAAGTTTCAGATGGTTCTGCCTGACACATCTTTTGAAGAATTCAAAGGCACCAGTGAATATTCATGCTGGCCTCATTTACAACAATGCCTGCTTTAAATGAAATGAATAGGACAGGTTGGGAATATTGCATTAACTCACCCCTTTCTGCTGAGTTATACTGACACTCGGGGTAAAGTTGCCTGGAGCTCAAAGGGATGTACTATGTCATGCCAGAGCTGCCTTACAGGATCTGAGAAAGAGAGCCAGGCTCCGAGCCTTCATCTTTGGCCCACTCCACTGCAACTGTGATTGGAGCCTTTCAAGGCTTTGTTTCAGGTTGAGTTTGGGGAGCAGTTGGCCAGATCTGTCCCTTGATGAATATCTTCACTTTAATCTGCAATGCAAAGCCATAGGCTTCAAAGAGAGGCAAGCTACAGGAATAAGGTCAGTGTTCCTTTGAAGCCAAAGTTCAAAGATGAAATAGCAGTCTCAGTGAAATGACAATGTTTATGCACAGCCACCTTCACTCTGCAGCCAGGCTGCTCCTGGAGTTAATGCACACAGGCTGAGGGGCTGCAGGCCATGCATGCATTCCACATGCACCAAGGCCCTTTTAATCTCCTGGCCTGTCACATCATGCTGCACAATAAGCCCAAAGTGGAGATTTGGTTTCTCCATCCTAATGGTGGTTGGGTGGTCCATAAGCCAAGTCGATGCTGTAAGCCCCTTAAAGGCAAGAAATGTGTCTTGAATTAATCTGGTGTTCCTGTGAGTGTCAGACCCGGTGCTCGGCTTAATAAATACGTCATGATTCACCTTCCATCTCACTGGGCTCCTCGATTTCAGGTCAGTGTTTATGCTAAACGAGATCTAGAGGATGTTTATCTCACAGGACTGGAAGCCTGGAATCCATTCCACGCCCATGCAGCAGCTGGAGGGATCACTCAGTATTTGGGATCCTCTGTACCTGACACCACTTTTGAAGGGGTCCAGAAAGATTGCAGCTTGATCATTCTCTTCACCTAGCCGTGGCATAAGCCACCACGGGAGGCTAAGCCCCAAACCATAGCAACCCCCCTAAGAAAGCACTGGCAACAACTGTCTTATTATTTATTTTTTTTTCAACGTTTATTTATTTTTGGGACAGAGAGAGACAGAGCATGAACAGGGGAGGGGCAGAGAGAGAGGGAGACACAGAATCGGAAACAGGCTCCAGGCTCTGAGCCATCAGCCCAGAGCCTGACGCGGGGCTCGAACTCCCGGACCGCGAGATCGTGACCTGGCTGAAGTCGGACGCTTAACCGACTGCGCCACCCAGGCGCCCCTTATTATTTATTTAAATCTTTGATTCATATTTTTTTAATTAATCAGTAATATTCTTTTTGTACTTCCAATCTTGGCCTCCTTCCGCACTCTCCCTTTCCCCACCCTGGGTAATCTTTGCCTTCTCAGAGAATATAGAAGGTGTATCTCATGGAGGATTAAGGGTGTGCACTCTGGAGCAGCTGGTGGCTCAGTCGGTTAAGCTTCTGACTTCAGCTCAGGTTATGATCTTGAGGTTCACAAGTTCAAGCCCTGTGTCAGGCTCTGTGCTGACAGCTCAGAGCCTGGAGCCTGCTTCGGATTGTGTGCTCCCTCTCTCTCTCTGTCCCTCCCCTGCTTGTGCTCTCTGTCTCTCAAAAATGAAAAAAAGTTAAAAAAAAAATGGGTGTGTGCAATCTGCAGCCAGACTGCATATAGCCCAGTCTCCCTGCCACCCTTGTTCTGTGACCGGCAAGCTACTTAGTCTTGCTTAGCCTTGGTCCCTTATCTTTAATTGGGGTCATACATAGGCATAAATAATGTGAGGGACTTAGCGTGATGCTTGATACATAGTAAATACTCAATTAAAGCTAACAGTTACTATTATTTTAATTCATCTGCTTTCTGTCCTCCAAATTTTCAATAGTTTTTACTCATTCTAGGATTCTGCCTTTCTCTTAGACCTCCACCTACTCCATCAGCAAATCCCACAGCACATCCTTTGATGTATGTCCAGAATCTGGTCCCTTC